AATATTTAGTTATTGTATAATAATCAGCATTTCTTAAATTTCTATATATAACTGAAGCATACAATATATACTAAACAAGTAGATGAATATCCACAAAAATAAATTAATTCACCAAGAGCATTTAAATAGGTGATTGAGTTTTTTTTGTATCTATTTTTGGAACGTAATTATTTTATAAAAAAGGGTAAGTGTGCTGGGACATAAGTATGTTCTGACTGAAACAGATATGGTTTATCTGTCAAATAAAAATTGAAATGCAAGTTGTATGTAGCATTGATTGTAGTTTATTAATGTTCTTTTAAAAAACGATTTGTACTTCTAAACCATAGCAATATTACTTTAATTAACGTTTATCGATCATAGTATTTAACAAAACCAAATATATTAAGTCAACTATATAAACTACTACCTACTACTCAAAATTTATCATATTTTAATTTGATAAAAATAGTCGTCAGAATATTGAAAAATTAAAGCCAACTAGAAAAAGTTCTCCGTAGAAGCTAACATAAGCTAGCTAAATGATTTATACTTTACTGCATACAGTATATTGAATACTCTAGTTAAAAATCAATAAAATTTTTAAATAAACAAACTATATAATTTACTTAGATATGACTCGAAACAGTTAAACGTTTACACATTATCGTAAAATACAAAAACTTTATCATGTTATATTTCTTATAGTATTTCATACTCACTCTGTGGTTTGAAATCAAATTTAATTGAATACAATTATTATCTAAATCAATAATTAGTATCGTTCTAATATTATTGCAATGTTCAAAACTTAGACCAGGGGAAACTGTCCAACATCTATTAATTATGAATAGTCTTTCAAGGAATCACCTGGAGACTTATAAAATTATAACAGGTGTTCCACAGTGATACGTTTACATAATAAATGTTATAGTCTTCCGACTTCCGTAATAATATAAACAACCAGTGGTGTAATTACGATATGGATTTGGGTATTGTACCCCTCTCCCATGACATTAAAAAAAAAAAAAATTGGTAGAAATCTATATGTATTAATTTAATGTCTTCACCAGAACGTATATTTTTAACTCTGAAAATAGTGAAAATATATCTGAGAAACATAATGGCTGAATTTTGTACCTCAATTAAAATATATTTAAAATTTATTTAAAAGCTTTTTGTGATAGAAATTAAATTAAAATCTAATTTTTTTACTTTTTTATTCCAAAGAATCGATTAAATGGTCTTGCAATATTAGCTGTTCATAAAAATATTAAAATAAAATTGATCCCGATGAAGTACTTAATGAATTATGACTAAAGCCACGTAAATTAATTTTTTTATGGTGATTTGTGATGAAATTGCACCCTAATCCCAATAAAGTTATTACCTATTTGTAAATGTGAATACTTATATATTATGTAAATATGTAGTTTAAAGTACACAAATCATAATAGTTGTATCAAAATACGCTTACCTATATTATGAAATAAATGATTTTTTTTTTTTTGTTGAAAGGGGGAAGATTATAAACAAAATTTACAAACATTTCTTAAGTGCATTAAATAAAACAAGTATACGTATTTAGGAGATAAAATATAGTATTTTAAGTACTTAAATGTGTGAGAACTGAGAAGTATCAAAACAAATATTTACAGTGACTGAGAATCTCAAAGCATATATAAATGTTTATGAAATTGATGAGATATCATTTTTGCGTTTATATACTAACGATCAGGAACATTTTGAAATGTTATGTATTTTATAAATTACTAATTAAAATTTCAATTTTTTTTTTTCTTTAGGGAAAAGGAGATAATACGGTGTTAATAAAGTTATTCATGTGATCAAATTTATGAAAATATTTTCTCTATTAAACCTCTAATTTCGTTATTATACCTTTAATCAATGTAATATCGTATTATTAAATTTTTCTCTTGGTCTGATATAAAATTCTACAAACTATAAAGTAATTAAAATATGGAAAATGTTTTGAACTACTATTTAAATATCGGAACATTTAAGTCAACTGATTGGTTCATTGTAATAGCTATTGTTCAAGGTTAGATAGGAATTGATTTTTATTACTTAAATTAAATTTTTTTAATTCTTAGAATTTAAATTTAATAACTTGATCATCGATTCATCTACGAATCAGTTGTTGTTATAACGTTATATTTTTATTTTAATTGTATTAGTATTATCATTTGTAATTTTGTTTAAAAAATAATCTTCACACATTAAAATAGTCGTATACGCTCTTATCTAAAGTAAAGAAAGTAAAATAATATTTAACTATTATACATTCATAATTTATTAATAATATGCTCAATATTTATTTTTAACAATAACTAGACCAAAACTTTAAAAATATCAATATTTTTTCATACTTTCAGTTTATTACATCAATAACGTTGTATCTCAAAAAAAAGTTTTAAAATGAGAAATAAGTAAACCTACATTTTTTAAATTACAAATTTAAATGAAATGTTCAAATAAATAATTTAATTAGTCGTCCGAAGAGTCATGTACGACATAGTTTTACAATAATATGTTGTAAATCTGTATTCAATATTAAGAATATATTTGTGTATACTTCCTGATGTAACTTATCAATCACTATTATATTAATGTACGTACAGACAACATTAAAAAAATTAAAATAATAAAATGTAATGAACAAATCGGCATAATAACATATAATATGCGACATAAACGTAATACAATAATAACGATTGAAGAAAAGAAATCATGAAGTTGAAAAGTGTTAGTTTCAATTATGATTAATTGAAGATAAATTATTGCGAACGCCTAGAAGTGTTATTGTCAACAATTATATGTTTCATGAATAAAATACAAGTATAGGAAGTTGCAATAATATTGCGAACCAGCGTAACTTATGTACTCTAAAAATCGACTAATTCTTAAGTACTATTAAAATAAAATGAAAAATATTTTTTTATAAAATAAGAATTTACTACGGTTAAAATTAAAACATTAACGTTCATAAGTTTTTAATCTCGTTGTTATTGTAAAATTATTAATCCTCTCTCTCTCTATGTTTATATACAATATACATATACATTTATCGTTGATCTTTTAAATCAATGTTCAAATTGTATTTTATATAAAATTAAGATGTATTTAATATGTTACACATATTAATTTCACAATTATTTTATTCCAGTTATCATGCTCCTTGAAAATACATTTTTAAATATTAAAGTAAAGCTTATAAATAGTTACGATAAAAAGATAAAAAATATTTATAATCGCATGAAAGCTGCAGTTATAAATAATTCGAAAACGCGAGAGGATAAACTACCGAATAATTTATATATAAGTATAGGTACATTGAGATATTATACTATTCCCATTACGATAGTACCTGATACGAAACGATGCGACTTGAAATGTCAAAAATCACAAGTATCTTCTTAAATATTCGTATTATATTATATCATATTAAACTATATTAATAGGAATAGTCAATAGACATATTATTCGTATTTAAAGTTCCTCTTTCGTGCAGAAATATCCGCTGTTGCGATGTTTGTGCATTACAATAATGATAATAATAATATATGCCACGTGTGATTTAAGTGACGACTTTCGAATTAAATCTATATACGTATACGAACTTTACGGTAAATCTAAATGGATTATTTAACTATGCGCAAAGTTTCGTTAGTTATTAGTGTACATGTACAGTTGAGTAACGCCTGAATCGTGTACTCGATGTCGTCTGTAGGTAGTAGGTACTTCCTACTTAATGCACAATATAATAATATACGACAAGTGTGATTAACCCGATTACATTTTCACGAGATTGATACAACCAAATTTTACTTGTTCGCGATGCAGAGTGATAATATCGAGTGTTGAGAGATGTGGTTGATATGAAGCAGAAGCGATAGGGGGGGGGGGGGTTGGTTTATTTTGCGTGACCTGTATGTAGTGAAAATAAATGTAGATATAGATCCACGAAATTGCAAAGGTTGGTAGGAAAAATATACATAAACGCGGTATATAGGTCGTCGTCAGAATTGGGTTGCGTGCGATGCCGTGGCGACCGATTTATTATAATTTGCCTCGGGAAACGGCTACACCGAATTGACGACGACGATTCGTGGAGGTTTTAGTGGCGAGAGATCGGAAAACAAAAACTCTGTTCACGTTGACCGGTTAGACACGGTGGCGACTGCGCGAAGTATGCTATATTATTATCGCCGACAACACAATACATAATGTATTGATGCAGATACGCCCACAGTGGCGTCGTGCATATTATTATGCGCACTTAAGGTGGCGCTTTGAATAGACTAAAATTATAACACGTGAGTGACTTTTGATTTACCTAATATTAAATTGATACGCCTTTACCGCAAAAGTTATGGCATGCAGGGAATGTGATATTAAATTCGTCGCACAATATTATTACGTTTAGTAAATAGGAATCCAATGAATGGACTTTGTACAGTGACGGCGTCAGAACTTTTACACCTGGTGGTCCAGACTGCGGAGGACTGGACTTTTTCCAAACGGACTGATTATTTTGATAATGAACTGATACCTACCATTAATTATGATTTACCTACTGTAAAATATAACTAAAATATTTTAATTTCAGAGTAAATGTCATAATTTCTAACGACAAACAACGCGGGCAGTGCGCATACCTTTTTAATAGAACAATATAGTTATTTAACCTTACAGTATTTTTGTATTATCGCATAAGCCGTGCGATTATTTCAAACGACCGATTACCTACATTACGAATTTGTTGTAAAACCGTAACCATCGAACGCATTCCGAACGAATTCATTTAAACGCAATGGCCGCGCGTCTGCACTCTTAGCACACCGCCGCCGAGTATTTGCGCGTTTGACTACGCTGCTCGCGTCTTTCCAGTAAGTTTCGTTTACTCGCGATAACGGTATCATAATATAGTGGCGACACGACCGTCTGCAGCTGGTGGAATGACGAGATCGTCTACGCCGGGGTCCGCGCGATATACTTACCGACGAACGCTGCCACGTACTGCCGGCCGACGGGCTTGTTGAAGAACCCGCCGATCATGGCGGCCAGCAGGGGCGACGACTTCTGCGGCGGCTGCGGCGGCGGCGCTCGGCGGCACGCCCGGGCCGGCGGCGATGGTGCGGCACCGTCCGCGTCGGCGGCGGCCGCGTCACATGTTCGGGACGACGCCAATGCTTACGGGTTCGGTCGCAACGGTTGTCCAACGACGGCAGAGATCGGCGCTCGGGATTCCCCGTGTGGCGGACCCGCAGATATTCGGAGTCGGAGTCGGCTCGCGGACGGCTGACGGACGGACGGACGGACAGACGGACCGCGGACAGATGGACGGACGGACGCGCGACACTGCTCGAAGACGGACTAAAAAGCGATTGCCGCCCGACGCGCCCGTCTCACGTGTATATAGACGACCGAGCGCGCTCGAGCGCAAGATTGTGGGTGTGTGTGTGGGTGTGTGTGTGTGTGTGTGTGTGTGTGTGTGTGTGTGTGTGTGTGTGCGTGTTTGTGTGTGTGCGTGTTTGTGTGTGTGTGCGTCTGTGTGCGCGCGCGACCGTGATACGACGGTGTGTAGAGCGATGTGCCGATGTGCCGACGATGACGGATGATATTACTTATAATAATTTTATAGTGTCACGATATCACACGCGTGTGCGCTACACGGGTGGTGTATTATATCATGTAGAATAGTATAATTATATCGCGTCGTCGTATATGTATATTATTATTATTATTATTATATTTTTATTGTATAGTGGCACGTCGTTACGCGCGTATTGATGACATCGGTGCTGGTTGCGGCGGGGTGACGATTAAATGCATTGCACGCATTATTGTAACATTATTATAACACGGTAGGTATATACGCCGACTACGGCTGCGGTGGAGGCGATGGGCGCGGTCAAACAGCAACAGCAGCAGCAGCAGCAGCAGCAACGGCGACGGCGGCGGCGATGATTTTTATTTTATTTTCCGTGACGTTTATCGCTCAGAACAACGCGCGTTAGTCAGGTCGGCCATGTACAGAATATTACTCACGCGATACGCCTCTGTGATATGCGTACGAGATTTGTATTCGAGTGCAGTCGCAGGATCGGTGGACGAAGTTATGTTAAGTCGGTACAAGCGTATACATTATTATATTATTCGGGAATTTTAACTTTTAAACCGTGGATGCGGTACATGACCGACGAAAAGCGCAAAACCGTTTTGGGGAATATTGCGGTGTTTCTCGGTTGAAGTATAATGTTCGAAACCTACGCCAAGATAGGAGGGGATTCATTTTATACGTTACACTTCATAAGCGGCTATTAGATAAACACCTTTGTTGTTAAATTCATTTTTGAGAGGGCTTGGAATCGAGAACTGTGCGTTTTAAAACCAGTATCTATATTTCCAGACCAAGATCGTAAATAATAACATTACTAGGGTAATGTGGTAAGCCACGATTAGTAGGTAGGTATATACGTTTTATCAAAAGTCGTAGTCAATTAGTTTGATCTAATTTTTATGGTAGGTATCTATATATATAATATATAAGCTACTAGGTACTGTACGTAGTATAATTTGTGTACAATCGTGTTTCTATTTAATTTTATTAATTTGGCTGTCAAAGAATACACAATATCGGAACACAGACATGGAACCATAACTTCGGACACAACTGTATTATAATCTCAAAGGTCCCAACCAACGACTAGAGCTCGTCCGCATAAATATTACAGCACGATACGTCGATACATATACAGTGTATACTTACTCGATAATAACGTTGTAAAGGTGTACCGCCATGTACGTCATAGGTGATTTGATGAGAACGGATTATTATATTATATTATTGGGTGAATGGCGATATGTTATAATAAAACTTTTTCTTAAAATGTATTATAGTTTTATTCACATTTTACATATTATTTTATTTTATTTTTACAAGTTATCCCTAACCCAGCGTGAACGCTTATATCAAAGAGTATTATCGTGGAAACAAAGACAAATCAAAATTATATTCACGTCTGGCTAAAGAGAATACTGCAGCAACAGCAGCATATCGTTGAGAAAATAGTGTGTCGCTTTGAATAGGCTTCAAAGAGAAATAGTTCAGCTTAAATAGTTGAAAGTTCGTTCAAAGAAAACACAAAAATAAGACAACTTTTTAATTAACAATATTCTATCAATAATAAATTTATTTTATTTGTGATATGGATAGTGAGAAATGCCTATAAGGTATAAAGCAAAGGCGACCAAACAGTCGATCGCAAACGATTTCAAAGTCAATCGTCTTAGAACTTATTTTTAGGCTACACGGAAATTAATCATGGTGGTAGTAATTAAATAATAAAAAACTTTTTTTTATCAAAGTCGATCCTCAAAGGTAAAGTATATTTTTAGTAGATTGCGGCCAAAAAAAGTTTGACCATCTCTGGTATAAAGGATACGATACCTTAATATATATTACATTACTACGTAATTTTTTTTTTTTTAATATTTTTATTATACAATCTATAAAACAGTTTACAATAAGCATAAGTAATAAAATTTTTTTTTTCTATTATACGGTTATTGAAGATCTTTGGAGTAAAGAGGCCATCCATTGGTGGTACTTCGTTTTCGTATCTAGTTGATTTTAGTTATCTAGTAGGTCTCGGCACCAGTTGTGCTTTAATCGTCTACCGTGATCGCCAAGGATGGTAAGATTAAATAGGTCGGTGACAAGTGGATATGGATGATTTTGCAGGCGAGAATGAAATTTTTTATACGAAGTTATAATGACTTTTTGGATAAGGGAGATCGAAAGATCTTGATGGAGTGTGCGGTTAGTTACATAGTAAGGAGCTTTAGTGATTTGACGAAGATATTTAGATTGAAATGTTTGTATACGGTTTAGATTGAAGGGTTTGGCTGAGCCCCATAGTTGGATCCCGTATGTTCAAATAAGTTTAAGTAGGGTTTTGTAGATTAGAATTTTGTTGTTTAATTTGAGGTGTTTTGAAGTGAAAAGAGATCTGAGTAATCGGAATCTGTTATTTAGGGAGGTTTATTTGTTGCTGATGTGAGCTGCCCAGGTTAGTCGACAGTCGAGGTACGATTTAAATATGAAGTATTTATAGAGGAGGATAGTTTCAATTTTAAATAAGAGGCCGCAGTGCTATATTTTATCAAAGGCTTGAGTCATATCAGAAAAGCACTAGTGCATATCTGCTTTTTTTCAAACAAGTAAGAGATTTTGTTAACAAGACAATGGATTTGTTGAATATTTGAGTAGTTGTTACGAAAACTGAATTGGTGATGTGGGAATTTAGATTCTATTATTAGTAGTATGCATTTAAGGATAAGTTTTTCAAAAATTTTAGAGAAAAAATGGTAGGAGGCTGATGGGTCTATTAGAGTTTAGGAAATCTGGAGGTTTCTCAAATTTGAGAATTATGATAATAATGGAGAATTTCCATTGGGTGGGGAAGTATGTAATTCTTATCATAGAGTTAAATATGTGTGTTGGAAGAAGAAGGGCCTTTTTTGGTAGCTGAGAAGCAACTTCGGCAGTGATGAGGTCACAGCCAAAACTTTTATGTTTTGTGAATTTTTGATAAGGTGCTGGACTTCGTTTGGGCTGTATGCTTGGGTGGTAGAATTATAGGAAGTAGAGATATTAATGAGTTTTCTATTTCTTGAATTTTGGTAAGAGTGAGTATTTTATAACGGTGTTGAAAGACCTGTGAGAGGTGCTAAGAATTTAAGTTAGCTTTTTTTTGTGTCTTTGATGGCCCATGAGTCATCTGGATTCCTTAACGGAAGAACTGGAGTTTGGGTTCGGAAGATTTTCTTGGTGTTTTTCCATAGCGGCTTATTTTGAGAGAACAGGGCTGTGAGGTGTTGTGCAAATTTTTCTAATCTAATTTTGACTAGGAGTTTTTTCAGTTTATTTGATAAACTATTGTTATGATTTTTATGTGATGGATATCTCGTTGTTTGCCATATAGCTCGGGCAACTATGTAATTTAAATGAGGATTTTTTTCTCTAACTTTTAAATGAAAAAAATAAAATAAATATGTATCTATATTATATTTATACCATTAATACGTCATATTATTATTATGTAAATTAAATGATATTTTTGTGAATAATGTATTAAATCATGCAATAAGTCTGTCTTTACAAGATATTTTTGGTTAATTTTTTTATAAGACATAATTAAAATGTAATATAACGTGCGATAAGTTAATCATACCTTTTATTATTGTTTTAATATAATTTTATGATAACCGTAAAAATACAGTTTCTTAACTCTGAGAATTTTGATATTTTAACTGTTAGGTACTATAAATATCACTGTACAAAATAAAACAATAATTACTATAATTATTAATTACATACACACACACACACACACACATATATATATATATATATATATTATATTTTCTTTTATATATGCATAATATATATAAATAGTAATACTGAATAAAATATGATAAGAATTTAATATCTTTTAATTCTAAATAAAACTATAATTATTTGATTATTAGTTAGTCACCACTGTTCAAATCATTTGACAAAAAAAAAAAAAAAAAAAAAAAACGAGATAAGAGATTTTTATACAAAAATAAAATATATACTTTTACGTATTTATCAGTGTTCATAATCGTTTTTCACCCCATATAAAAAATTTGAGACCACAGTTAAATAGGTATACTAACACAACTGAAACAACTGTAAACCTTGTAGTTTTAATTTGTTTTGTGATCGTAGGGGAATGGATTATTTAAATACACTTTAGGCGTGATTTGATTTGATTCTTCATTTACGTAAGATTACTTAAACATAAGCAAAGTAAATATAATTAGAGTTCTACGGCTTATGAAAATTACAATATTATGTTCCACTATATTGCAAATCCGCAAACACAGTAAAGTCAACAGTTTTATTATCGTCTACAATTTTCTTTTTTTTTTTTAATTTATCTTATCTTAACCAAGATTTTATGCTTTATATAAAATTGTATGTATGTTCTACTCTCATTTTGGAATTTATGTAGCCATTGATAAGTTTAAAATAGCGCCTAGAAAAATTCATAAGTATAATTATTGCAATTGCTTTACAAAGATGTTAGATGGCTATTTTATCGTAAAGTGTTTATGATGTTTAATTTAGTATGGTTATAATGTTTTATGCATAGTGTAAAAATGTTTAATATACACAAATATATTGATGGTATGAAGATATTATTTTCCCCATTAATTAATCTTTTTCATAATCCTCAATTCGAAATTCAAAAATAGTTATACAAAAAGTAAGCCTATGATGCGATTAATATCTATCACTAACTCACCATCCCCCCATCTTTCAAATTTTAAATTGTTATTTTTTATTTAATTGGTTTTGAAATGTTTTTACTCTTGTATAAGTTTTTTATTATTACTATTACGTATTTTAATGTAATTTATAATTACCATTCTGGTTAATAGGGTTCAACCTAA